AACTCATCAGGCACTAATAAATATTTATTGTTAATAGAGAGATGATGAAAACATTTTATAAACAGGTGATTAAGAATATGAAATAATTATCAGAAGATACTTATTTGTATGGTGTTGATAAAGAATTTTAAGCAAACATTCCTCTTTAAAATGAGGCTTTCTTCCTTTGACTGGCAGGCTATTCCATAAACTAGTTGATGCATACAGGACTTTAAACTAAAGCAATGACATTACAAATTAGCAGCTTGAATTTTAGTACAAATATGGCACTTAAAATTATGTCAAATTGAAGTGCCAACTCTGTGAGGTACTCAGGATGAGGTGCTGGGGATACAGCAGCAAACAAGACAGGTAAAAATCCCTGCCTAGTGGGGCTCACAGCTTAGTGGAAGGGGGCAGATGATACTCAAGTCAACGAGTAAAATAGATGGTACATCAGGTGGCAAGAAAGGCAACGGAAAACAAGTAAGTAGTGGAGAGGGATAGGGGATTCAGCCAGGGATAGAAGGGGGAGTGAAGTTTCAAAGAGAGTGATGGGGAGCACCCCCCACCCCGCCCCCGCCTCGCCCCACCCGGGAAAGGGACGTCTGAGCTGAGAGACCTGAAGGAGAAGGGATAAAGTGCTGGGCAGTTGGCTGGGCCATGAGCATTCCAGGAAGCAACTTGCTTTGAGCAATACGATTTAAAGGGTTGGGGTTTGACTTCTGTACAGGCAATCCAGCCGCTGCATTCCTTGTCACTTTCAATTAACCGTGAGTACACCCAGCTAGCTCATCAAAGAGGCTCCCATGTCTCTCCCTTCTGGCAGCCAGGGACAGATACCCTCGGCGGTGCCAAAACTGCCACGCTGGACCAGCCGCCGCTGGAAGCAGAGGAGCTGCCCCGCCCCCTTCGCCTCGGCCTCCAGGGTGGAGGTGGGGGCGCTGTAACCCTTAGCCTTCCTCTCCCAGCAGCCCCATTCTCTCCCTGGTAAGTCTAAAGAGGCATTCAAGTTTGCTTGAAAGTTTCTTTTGTACCTGGTGAATCTGTCCTCTCTGAGTAAGGGCTCTCACCCTTACTCAGAAGCAAAATCACCACCTCTTAGAGTCACTTTTATAATTAACAATGTAATTTCCACCAGATTTAAAGGGTATTAGGATTTCATCATTGATATTAAGTCCTTGAAGCTGTCATATTTGGAGTGAGGCTGTTAAAAAAGAAATATTTCTAAATATTTGTTAATTGCTATGTGTGTGTGTGTATATATATTAAATTATATCAGCATTTGTAGTTTCTGATCATCTACTCATATTCCCACTGATGACTTGCTGACTTCCTGTCACACCTGTTGATATAAAGCGCAGTGACAAGGAGGATACTATAAGCTCCATTAGGACAGGATGATGTCTGTTTTTCTCACTGCTGTATCCCCAGTGCCTACCTTAGTGCCTGGCACATAGGAGACACTCAATAAATGCTGATGAAAAAAAATGAATGGCTTTAAAGAAGACAGCTTTGATACAGAGAGAAAATACTTTCATGCTAGAGTGGAAGGGGGTAGGTACAGAGACCACAATGTCTGAAGCAGGAGAGGCAAGATGGGACATGAGCTATGATTCTCCCTCTCTTGCCTCCAAGGTACTGGGCATTTAATGAATGTGCATTTAATGCACAAGGGCAGGGCAGGGATGGGGAGATGAGTGTGAGAAAAGCTCTAAAACAAGATCCCTTCCCCACCCCCTTAAGATGTTAGATTACTTGGGTCAATTTACTTAGTCCCTTGGAGACTTGGTTTTATCATCTAGAAAATGGGTACAACAATCCTGACTTCACAGGGTTGCTATGAGAGCTAAGTAGGATAATGAATATAAAGCTCTCAACATAGAGCCTACTGCCATTAAAAAGTTATGACTCTCATTTACCAAGGTTTGAATCCCAGCTTTATTGCTTAGAGCTGAATGGTCTTAAGAAAGTTACGGGAATCCCTCTGTTGCCACAATTTCCTCATCTGTGAAAAATAGGATAATAATGCTTATCTTGTGGTGTTACTCTGAGGATTAAATCAGTTAAAAAATGTTAACCACTTAGAACAGTATCTGGCATGCAAGCATTATTATTGTATGTGAGGCATTTTTCCTATATGTTTCCAACTTTGATCTTGTTAGGACTCAAACAACAGATTTGTTGATGTGATGATGGAGTTCTTGCTGGACAGGTTGGATCCTTGTCTCATTTCAACAGTAGTTCTCAAACTCAAGTTTGCACTGGACTCACCCTGAAGGCTTGCCAAAACACAGCTGTGGGGGCCCCACCCTCAGAGCTTCTAATTCAGAAAGTCTGAGTGGGGCTTGAGATTTTTTTATTTCTAACAAGTTCCCAGATGATGCTGATGCTTCTGGTCCACAGATCACACTCTGAGAAGCACTGTGATATAAAGAAAGGATATCAGAAGCTCTAAGAGAAGAAGGAAAGATAGGTACATAGAGAGAGAGGAGTTCTGAAAAAATCCCCAATTGCAATGAGTTATGGGCACTAGTAGAAAGAATAATTTGTTCATTTATTCATTCAACAGACATTTACTTACTGCCCAATGTGAGCAGGGCCCTGTATTCACTAACTGGTTTCCAGGACCAAGATTAAGCCAAGTAGAAACAACAGTGAGTTGGAGAAGACTGTCAACTTGCTGAATTAAAACAGCATCAAAGAAAGAAACCAGGTCCCCACTGGCCTAACTCAGGCATTATTTAGTATGTGTATGTGTATCAGAATGTACACAAAATTGACCATTTTGACCATTTTTAAGTATACAGTTCATGGCATTAAGTACATTCATATGTTATACTAGCATCAACACCATCTATCTCCAGAACATTTTTCATCTTCCCTAATTGAAACTCCACACATGTTCATCAATAATTCTCTATTTCCCTTTCTCTCACATCTCCTGGCAACCACCATTCCACCTTCTATTTCTATAAACTTGATGATGAAGCTCATATAAGTGACATCAGACAGTATCTGTCATTTTGAGCCTACTTATTTCATTTAGCATAATGTCTTCAAGGGTCATCCATGTTACAGCATATGTCATAATGTCCTTTTTTAAAGGTGAATAATATTTCACTGTATATATACACCACATTTTGTTTATCCATTCATCCACCAATGGATATTTAGATTGCTTCTGCCTTTTGGTTGTCATTAATATTGCTGCTATGAACATGAGTGTACACATACCTGTTCAAGTCTCTGCTTTCAACTCTTTTTGGGAATATATTTCTAAGCATCATTTTAAAGCAGATAAATTTTGTTTGAGTAAATATTAAGATCACATTTCCCTTCTCCCACGCCCCCCTCCTTTTCCCTTCTTAGAACTTGATCCCTCCTGACACTCAGGTACCTAGATCTCTCAGCTGCCCCAATCTGATAAATCATTCACACCTCCAAGAACAAGGGGGATACATCTTAGTACTCTTATGGGCTGAATGCATGCACGAATCTTCCTTTCTCTATAATGACAAACTTGCTGATACACTGTCCAAATACACCTATGCCAGGAGCATGTCCAGGACTATAAGGAAGACATTTAGTCACTGAAATCAGACATGTGATAGAGAAGCCTGACCTTGCTACTTACTAGCCCTTTAGGCAAGGGACTTAATTTCTCAAGCTTCAATTTCCTGATCTGTGAAACAGGTGTAATAGTTTGGATCTACTTGGTTGCTGTGACAATTAAACTAAAATAAGGTAAACTAAGATAAACTGAGATAAGGTAAAGCACTTAACCAAGTGCCTGGCATATGGTAAGTACCCAACAAATACAGGCTGTATCTGAGTAATTCCTTCAGATACATGCCAAGACAGTTCCTGGATCTAGATCCACAGAAGGACATTACAATGAGCATGGAATTAATGGTCCCACTTGGCCACAAGCCCAGATTCCTAAACACCGGACATTGTTTTTTTTTTTTAAATCACAGGATTCAAAATTACAAACTGCCCACAAGGGGTTAAAGATATCTTTGGACAAGGAAGATATTTTGGGTGCTCTGTGGAACCCACAAATTGTACCAGAATCCCCAGCAGTCAGCTATGGGTATAAGTATTCTTCCTCAGTTTTTGTTTTTTTTTCCCCCCGTGAGTTTGCAAATACCAGATAAAAATGGATTCCAGAACAATGGAAATTTGAGATGAGAAATGGTTACAGCAGATTTGGCCAGGCCTCCTCCTAGGATGGCCCCAGTCCTTCTGGGACGTGTTCTGACAACTCCTTGGCCTCTTTCTAAGCCTCTGAAAAGGGGGTGATGTTCCTGCTGCTTCCCTTGGAAGAACGTTGCACGGTGAAATATGACTCACTGTCAGGGCCCTGGCCTTCGAGATTCCCTTTCTTCTCCTGACCCACTTTCGTCTTGCTGCACCCTTTTGTACAAAGTCAAATGAGGCCTCCCCTGGAAGAGGTTGCTCTGCGAGGACTGACATTTAAAGACCATTACCACCTCTTCAACTCGGCCCTGTTCATTTAGCCAAGCAAAGCATGTTTAATTCTTTTAATCTTCTCTCGTAAATCAATCTCTTCGTTCCCTTAATAGTCCTTCGCCTATGCTTTGAACTCCCTCCAGTCTGGTCATCCTAAGCTCTTGTTCCGTTTACACTTGAGAATTGCCAGTCAATCGAGAAGCGGCTGTACAGGAAAAACAGCCGGATCCTCGCCAGGGTTCTGGAAGTTCTCAGCACACTGGGCTGTCTGCTGCCCCAGGCACCATGAGCCCCAGAAAAGCCCTGCCTGGAGGCCGAGCCCCACGGCTTTAATGCAGACTTGAGGCGTCTGCTGCGCACCCCGTCATGGGTCTGTCCATGGCCCTGGCCATGTCAATGGGAATGGTCAAGGGAGTTGCACAAGAAGCCTGCTCAGATACCTGTCCCACTCCTTTCCGTCAGCCTCCACGGTACACCCACCTTGCACCTGGCATCTACCTACTAGAGTGATGGAGGACCCTGGGTAAGCCCAGAAGCGTTCTTACCTGGAAGGTCCCAGCATGGTCTTCCTCCTTATCACCCTCTCTGTTCTCTTTGAGGGCGATTAATGTGAATCCTCTGAAATAGGAGGGAGGGGCAGCTGAAAGTGTCACTGCAGAGATAAGAAGAAAGCAGATGATAAGCACAAGAGTCAGCGTCTTTCATTTGTCAAATGGATAAATGTGAGCCCCCATCAGCATCCCAGACGTGCTGCAGGGGCAGGTAATTGTGGGAAAGGCTGATTTTGTAGAGTGATGAACTTTCACCCTTACCCCCCAGCCCCCTCTCTTATTTCAGAACCTGCAAAAACACCTCAACTGCGATCTCATTTGGGAATTGTTGGATCAAACAAGCCTGAGATGAACGCTCTTAGTAACCACAATTTGATAAAAATAGTACATGGTCAGCAACTTGTCTTGACAGTTATCTAATGTTATATACTTCCATAGATTGGCCCAAGAAAGACTCATGTGTTTGCGGCATAAACTCCTATCAGTTCAGTTCAGTCACTCAGTCATGTCTGACTCTTTGCGACCCCATGGACTGCAGCATGCCAGGCCTCCCTGTCCATCACCAACTCCTGGAGTTTACTCAAACTCATGTCCGTCGAGTCAGTGATGCCATCCAACTATCTCATCCTCTGTCGTCCCCTTCTCCCGACTTCAATCTTCCTCAGCATCAGGGTCTTTTCAAATGAGTCACTTCTTTGCATCAGGTGGCCAAAATATTGGAGTTTCAGCTTAAGCATCAATCCTGCCAATGAATATTCAGGACTGATTTCCTTTAGGATGGACTGTTTGGATCTCCTTGCTGTCCAAGGGACTCTCAAGAGTCTTCTCCAACACCACAGTTCAAAAGCATCAATTCTTCGGTGCTCAGATTTCTTTATGGTCCAACTCTCAGATTCATACATGACCACTGGAAAAACCATAGCTTTGACTATGTGAACCTTTGTTGACAAAGTAATGTCTCTGCTTTTTAATATGCTGTCTAGGTTGGTCATAACTTTCCTTCCAAGGAACAAGCGTCTTTTAATTTCATGGCTGCAGTCACCATCTGCAGTGATTTTGGAGCCCCCCAAAAATAAAGTCTGACACTGTTTCCACTGTTTCCCCATCTATTTCCCTGAAATGATGGGACCAGATGCCATGATCTTAGTTTTCTGAATGTTGAACTTTAAGCCAACTTTTTCACTCTCCTCTTTGACTTTCATCAAGAGGCTCTTTAGTTCTTTTTCACTTTCTGCCATAAGGGTGGTGTCATCTTCATATTTGAAGTTACTGATATTTCTCCCAGCAATCTTGATTCCAGCTTGTGCTTCATCCAGCCCAGGGTTTCTCATGATGTACTCTACATATAAGTTAAATGAGCAGGGTGACAATATACAGCCTTAACATACTCCTTTCCCTATTTGGAACCAGTCTGCTGTTCCCTGTCCATTTCTAACTGTTGCTTCCTGATCTTCATACAGATTTCTCAAAAGGCAGGTCAGTGGTCTGGTATTCCCATCTCTTTAAGAATTTTCCACAGTTTGTAGTGATCCACACAGTCAAAGGCTTTGGCATAGTCAATAAAACAGAAGTAGATGTTTTTCTGTAACTCTCTTGGTTTTTCCATGATCCAACAGATGTTGGCAATTTGATCGCTGGCTCCTCTGCCTTTTCTAAATTCAGTTTGAACATCTGGAAGTTCATAGTTCACGTATTGTTGAAGCCTGGCTTGGAGAATTTAGAGCATTACTTTACTAGCATGTGAGATGAGTGCAATTGTGTGGTAGTTTGAACATTCTTTGGGATTGGAATGAAAACTGAGGATGTGGCAAAACACATCTATTTATTGTGGGCATTCAGCTGGAACATATTCCCAGCCTCCCTTGCAGTCTGGTCTGCTTGTGTCCCAGTTCTGCTGGTGGAAAACCTGGACAGACAGGATGAATGCCTCTTCCTGCCTGGCCCCTCCAAATTTTCTACATGATTCTCCATCCTTCCTCTCCCAACTCTGCCTGCTGCATGCAGGGGAATCCAGCGGAGGACCCTGATGCCCCAGGAGAAGGATTGGAGCCACAAGATGGAAGGAACCTAGGTTTCTCAATAACCACAAAGATTGGCTACTAATGTCTATAAAAGTTCAGATAGAAAGAAAGGAAGGAAGAAAGGATGAGAAAAAAAAAACATAATGAAGTAGAGAAGAGCAAGAAATGAGGGGTGCTAAGCAATGGCACCCAGAAACTGATGACTTTAATGTCAAGAGGAAGAACTGAGTCTGAGGGATAGACAGATAGCCCCACAGTAGTCTGATGTTATCTAGGTTGGGGTGGGGGGCCTTCAAAGCCAACCTACACACTTCTGGAGGAAGGGGAGCAGAGAGTAAGAGGCAGCCATTAAAGGGGCTGTGCCCAGATCACCTCACATTCCTTTGGGCCATGGCACAAAGGCCCTGGTACATGGCCCTGGTACTGACGAGCCTTTGCTTCCAGAGGCTGGAACCTGCGGCTCGTTCCTGAAGGAGCAGACTCAGGTCACTGGAGTCTCTCTGCCTAACACAAAGGGCCCACCTCCTCAGGTGACGATTCTGAGGACCTGGCACCTCTAAATGGCCCTGCAGGGTCAGAGCTCACCTGGGCTCATGGCCTGGTGAGGTTTCTTCCTGCTCTGTCCCAGGTCCCTAACCGCCTTATTGGCTTCCCCTGGGAGTACTTCCTTTAAGAGTCACCTGCACCCCAATCCTCCCCCGAGGGTTTGTTCTGGGTTAAATTGTGTCCTCCTAAAATGTATGTTAAAATCCTAACCCCAGGTTCCTGGAAATGTGACCTTTTTTGGAAATAGGGTTTTGCAGATGTAACTGGTTAAGATGAGATCATAATACTGGATTAAGGTGGCCCTAAGTACAACTGCGAAGAGTTGACTCATTGGAAAAGACCCTGATGCTGGGAGGGATTGGGGGCAGGAGGAGAAGGGGACAACAGAGGATGAGATGGCTGGATGGCATCACCGACTCGATGGGCATGAGTTTGAGTAAACTCCGGGAGTTGGTGATGGACAGTGAAGCCTGGCGTTCTGCGATTCATGGGGTCGCAAAGAGTCAGACACAACTGAGCGGCTGAACTGAACTGAAGTCCAAGTGCATTGGTCCCCAAGCCCCTATGGCCAATGTCCTTAGACAAAGAGGCACAGAAACACACAGGCAAGAATGCCAGGTGATGACCGCAGCAGAGATGGGAGCGAGGCACCTGCAGGTCAATGAATGGCAAGGACTGCCACCAGAGGCTAGGAGAGGCGTGGGAGGAACTCCGTGGAGCCTCCAAAGGGAAACAACTCTGACGTCTTGAGTTCAGACTTTTTGCCTTGAGAATTGTGAGCAAATACATTTCTGTTGTTTTAAGCTACCGGTTTATGGTACTAAACATGGGAGCCCTAAGAAATGAACAATATCTGCTTCTGAGGAACCCAACCTAAGCTAGACACTCAGTCTCTGCTGCATAGTCAGTAACTTCAGGCTACAGCTCAAACTCCATAGACTGACGAGCCCACAGATTCTGCCTCTCCAGGAAGCTTCACCAACCACATTTCCATTCCCTGCTACACCACATTTCAGTCCTGGGACTCTCTCACTGGCAGTTTCCTGAAAACCCATGTCATTTCATCCTACAGTATAATTTTTTTCCACTTGGTTATTCATACACCTGGAATGTTCCACCTCCTTCATTCCTGGCAAACGTTTTTAGAAATCAGCTAAATTTTCATCTTTTCTGCAATGTTTCCTTTGACTGCCCAATCAAGACCTGGGTGCTCTTTTTCCTTGGACCTTGTTAAAATTCCAGACATGGAACAATGGACTGGTTTCAAATTGGGAAAGGAGTACCTCAAGGCTGTATATTGTCACCCTGCTTATTTAACTTATATGCAGAGTACATCAAGTGGAAGGCCAGGCTGGATGAAGCATAAGCTGGAATAAAGATCGCCAAGGAGAAATATCAATAACCTCAGATATGTAAATGACACCACCCTTATGGCAGAAAGTGAAGAGAAACTGGAGTCTCTTGATGAAAGTGAAAGAGGAAAGTGAAAAATTTGGCTTAAAACTCAGCATTCAAAAGACAAACATCATGGCATCTGGTCCCATCACTTCATGGCAAATAGATGGGGAAACAGTGGAAACAGTGTCAGAATTTATTTTGGGGGGCTCCAAAATCACTGCAGATGGTGACTGCAGCCATGAAATTAAAAGATGCTTGCTCCTTGGAAGAAAAGCTATGACCAACCTAGACAGCATATTAAAAAGCAGAGACATTACTTTGCTGACAAAGGTCCACATAGTCAAAGCTATGGTTTTTCCAGTTGTCACATGTGGATGTGAGAGTTGGACCATAAAGAAAGCTGAGCACTGAAGAATTGATGCGTTTGAACTGTGGTGTTGGAGAAGACTTTTGAGAGTCTCTTGGACTGCAAAGAGATCAAACCAGTCAATCCTAAAGGAAATCAACCCTGAATATTCATTGGAAGGACTGATGCTGAAGCTGAAGCTTCAATACTTTGGCCACCTGATGCAAAGAAGTGACTCATTTGAAAAGACCCTGATGCTGGGGAAGGTTGAAGGCAGGAGGAGAAGGGGACGACAGAGGATGAGATGGTTGGATGGCATCACTGACTCAATGGACATGAGTTTGAGCAGGCTCCAGGAGTTGGTGATGGACAGGGAAGCCTGGTGTGCTACGGTCCATGGGGTCGCAAAGAGTCGGACACGACTGAGCTACTGAACTGACTGATACAGTGAGCCTAATGACAGTGTTTACCTCAACATATCAATGTGAAGCATAAATAATGCATGAAAGTCCTTAAAACCATTGTTGGCAGGTAACAGTAAATATTAGCTATTATTATCAGTGATGAGATGATCATGTTAAATATTTTGTGCACAAGTATTTGTTTACCTATTTGTAAGCCCTTCAAAGGTAAGAATCACATCTTAGCCCGGCACAGTGAATAGCAGAGTTGGTATGTAATTCTATTTACTGAATGATATTCATGGACTGGTAGATTCAGTGTTGTAAAGATGTCAATTCTTCTCAAATTGATTTATAAATTTGGTGCAACTTACGTTAAAATCACAGCA